ACTTTGTTTGTGCAAACGGAAGCAATTTTTCTATGGTCAAAAACTGAAAAAAAATACGCCACTTTTTGGCGCTCCGCTGCTCAAACAACGTTTCACTGATCAAAATTCCCTGAAGTCATTTTGATGGTACATGTGTTGAGATGATGTGGAGCGATTTTGAGGCGAATCGGTGAAACGGCCGAGGCTGGTTTGATGTTTGTGTGAGGTGTATATTTGCAATGAATGGGGAGCGTTTGTCGTCGCCACGGCAACAGGGTAAAAAATAAGCCTTGGACCCAATTGACTTTTTGAATCAAGAGGGCAAAACAGATGTATGTGCAAAATTTCAAACATTTTGAAAAAACTAAATTTGAAAATGCCCATTTAAAACTTTGAAATAGTCTGTAGGGGGCGCTAATGTGTCAATTTGAATCATTTAACTTTCAAATGACCTAGACCCTAGAGTTGAACAATGTATTAAAGTTTTGTGAAAATCAGACTTTGTTTGTGCAAACGGGAGCAAATTTAATGTTGTCAAAAACGGCCAAAAAAAGGTCACATTTTGCCGCTCCGCTGCTCGAACAATGTTTCACTGATCAAAAATCCCCGAGGTCATTTTGAAGGTACATGTGTTGAGATGATGTGGAGCGATTTTGAGGCGAATCGGTGAAACGGCCGAGGAGGAGTCGCTTTCCAACCGACATGTATGAAAACTTTTGCTGTTCATTTTTCCATTTTGCAGTGACATTTATGGGCTTCCTGTTTGTCAGAGGGCGGAGCCATAATAATATTTTTTTCTTGTCTTGACTTGAGGAACATGTGTACCGAATTTCATGACTCTACAACAAACTTCATCTTCAGAACTCCCATAGGGGTATTATTTTGGCTGTTGTAGGTGGCGCTGTTCTGGCATTTTTTGAGTCCCATTAAAATAAACACCAAAATATCAAATTTTTCGCCAGGTCTGATTTTTGGGCAAAATTTAACAACTTTTCATGCATATTCAGGGGGTCAAATTAAGGCTCAAAGTGCAGAAGAAAAAAGAAAGAAAGAAAGAAAGAAAGAAATAAATAAATAAAAAAGGAATTTTTTTTTCGACGTCTCGAGCAAAAACAATATAGGTTTCAATGGCACGTGATACATCATTTTAAAGCTTTTGAGTTTACGCACGCAACCGTCACGTTTTGGCGAGTGACGGGCGCTGACGCGTCCGTCACGCACCGCCACCATTTGTTTTCACCATTGTGAAAGCAATAGGCCCTTACCCCGTTCGGGGCTCGGGCCTAATAAATAAAAAAGGAATTTTTTTGTTAACGTCTCGAGCAAAAACAATATAGGTTTCAATGGCACGTGATACATCATTTTAAAGCTTTTGAGTTTACGCACGCAACCGTCACGTTTTGGTGAGTGACGGGCGCTGACGCGTCCGTCACGCACCGCCACCATTTGTTTTCACCATTGTGAAAGCAATAGGCCCTTACCCCGTTCGGGGCTCGGGCCTAATAAAAAAGGAATTTTTTTTTCGACGTCTCGAGCAAAAACAATATAGGTTTCAATGGCACGTGATACATCATTTTAAAGTGTTCGAGTTTACGCACGCAACCGTCACGTTTTGGTGAGTGACGGGCGCTGACGCGTCCGTCACGCACCGCCACCATTTGTTTTCACCATTGTGAAAGCAATAGGCCCTTACCCCGTTCGGGGCTCGGGCCTAAAAAGGAATTTTTTTTTTAACGTCTCGAGCAAAAACAATATAGGTTTCAATGGCACGTGATACATCATTTTAAAGCTTTTGAGTTTACGCACGCAACCGTCACATTTTGGTGAGTGACGGGCGCTGACGCGTCCGTCACGCACCGCCACCATTTGTTTTCACCATTGTGAAAGCAATAGGCCCTTACCCCGTTCGGGGCTCGGGCCTAAAAATCTGGCCAAAAGTGGTACTGCAGTCACAGTCAATATTTTGTAGTCCTCTCCCACTCTCCCTGACTCAGGTTGCCAGATTCACACCAAATCCAGCAGCAAACACAGGGAATTATGTTATCAGTTGTTTGTCCGTCTCCATTCACATTGCCATGACAGCCGTGCTAATGCTGAATGAATGTTTTGACTAATGTTTTTTTATTATTATTATTTGGACATTTGAGATAAAAAAAACAAAAACAAAATAAAAGCATTGTAATTATACATAGTTTATGCAAAATAGATAAGAAATTGATGTCCAAAATAGGAGTGGGAAGAATGGATGTTGGAACGTATTTCTTCAGCGTATCAACATCAGGGTTTGCTCAAGAGGATATCACCTTTCAATTTTATTTATTCCCTATTTTTTAGACAAACATGTAAAAGTCCCACATCAAAAAGAGACTAACATTATTTTAATTGGGGTACATGTGGTCTTAAATGATTATTTTTACAATTAAGCTATAATCTGCAAAAAAACGTCTTGACCTTCATCTTTTACCGTTTTTAGAGCAATCTGTCATAGAATGTGATAACATGCAATAAATACAAAAAGACATAGCCCGGGATCGAACCCGGGTTCCTGCATCGTAAGCGCACAGTTTAGACTAGACCACCGGTTCACACGAATGAGACACTGTGAAGACTAAAAAATTCTGCATCACACGTGAACTTTTATCAGCTGTCTCAATTGTTCAAAGGCATCCCGATATAAATCCTCGTTTTAGTCTTTGTTTTGTCATTAATGATTTGAGTCATAACAAGACCTGTTTTAGTTCTGCGCCACATGTTTGTTTACCTCTGAGATTAGTGAGCCGCACGGAGTTCTGGCAACCCGATCACGGACTTACATGACACTTCCTGATTGGCGAAACGGCGGAGGGTAGGACATCAAAATCAAAACAATAACAACTTTTACGGGTCGTAAAACTAATTTTGATAATCAAATATCTCGGCTGAACTACTGTTATCAGTTAAAGATGAATTCGAAAAGAGTATGATTTAATAACGCCTTTTGAAATATTTGGGTCATTTAATGATGACTTGACATGCAAATATTACATATTGCTCCTTTAAGCATGACACCCTCATCAGGCAGGGTCAGGGTGCTCAGGGCCGACGCGGCTACTGTGGTTGTTTACCATCACCGTGTGCAGACCATAGACTGTATATATTAAGTAGACAAAGTAATACACAAACATGTGAAAAGTGCAGCTGACGTAAAAGTTTCATATTTCAGGAAGCTGACACCAATGACAATATTTTATTTACGTCTTCAAGTTACAAGGGAAGCACATTTATTTTTTGCCATTATAATCATGGATGTCTTGACTTGTATTTTGGACATTGGGATTAGGTGATAAAACATTCCTACTAAGTAAAGGCATCAATTGATTAATAAAAGAATATACATTGATAAATTTTATAGATAAAATAATGTCATATCAATTTATGTAAAATACATGTTCCTAAACAAAAGGTGAAATGGAACTTCCATTTGGTTATTTCAAGTCTTTTTTTGTTCTTTAATTAAAATGTTGCCACACAGTCCTCATGGAAGATTCCATTAACTATTGTAAATGTTTTCCAAATTAATATTTCAATTCTCAAACAAACAGGAAGAATTACCTTCAGAATAACTAAAATTCTTTACTTTCTCAAAAATAATGTAACACTAGAGTATTGTTTGTTATTTTTTGTTTACAAATCATAATAACCTGCAATGGTTGGTGACCAAACTGACCGGTAAACATGTTTTTTGCAAGCTCCAGACCTTTTCGGTGTGGGACACATCCACTAATTTTGTGAAACAAAAAACATAGACCTTTGTATGTTGTGTTGTCATATTGTTAAATCCGTCAGTATATCCACAGAAACGTCTCATGTCTCAGTCAAATCCATTGTTAGTAGAATTCTGACAATATCATTGGTCCCACCATTTGGAAAGCAACAGGCGCTAACCTTGTGTAAAAAACTGCTACAACGTAGAAACAAAGAGCACTTCTGTCCGACCGATGAAGATGACTGCATATTTGAATATTGGGGTCTTTGGAGGAATTGAGCTAGCTAAGTCATCCCATAAATAAAGAGAGATGAAGTGTCTTTTCAGGGCATTTTCAGTTAGAATGTCTTCGTCTATGAACCCTATTTGACTTCATCACCTGCAAAAAGAACTAACTATCCCTACTAGTTAAACACCTACATAGTTCAACACAGGCAATAGGCAAAGTTTGAATAGTCAACTCACAGGAGTCCTCATGTCAATGCCTACACAACTTCACTTCTGGGTCATGCCACAATATACAAAGATACTCAAAATGACAAGACTTTTTCAACGTGTAGGAGGGGATCTCAGAAGTCCGAGCAAAGCATTGGTTCAATACGGATGCTAAGCGACATGATTCTCCCTGAATTTCACACATGTGTCACACAGCAGTGTCATGTGGGGTGACAAAAGCATGTCAAAACGTTGCATGGTTTGGCTGTTCTGTGGCCATCTGCTGCTCTCCACAGACCTGATGATTCAATTTGACTTGAAATGGAACATTCTTGGGATAATGAGGCAAAATAATATTGAAATCCATGGGAATCTTACAGCAGGCAGCACTAAAGTAAACAGAAGATTGTCAACCTGCAGTTCTCTGCAGGACTGAACAGGGTCTGCTAAAGTATTTGAAAACATGTCCACATGTTAAACAGAAGAGGCAGTGAGAGTGGCTTCTGAATCCAAATGAGTGTAAACAGTCCGTTGTGTGTCTGTGGCACAGTTCCTGGCCCACCACTGGTCCCACTGCTGGTGCAGTATGACAGCCTGAACAAGGGCCCAAGCCACAAAACATGGAGGAAATGAAAGGCTCCATTCTAATCTAAGCAGGCTCTCACAGGAAACGCGTTGGAGCAAGTGGTCATGAGTTCCTAAGGACTATTTTGTAATGGCATACCTCAAATCCTTATGAAGGCATAAAAATCCTCATGTCGGTGTAAAAATAGTCTTAAATATGAATATAGTAGTGAGTTTCTGCTCAAGTCTGTTGAAGGAGACATCCTCTCCCCATTCACTACAATTCCATATCCTGAGCCTCGTCCTCAGAAAAGTCTGACATGGAGCTCTCTGATGAGGAGTCTCCGCCCTCCTCCTCCTGCTCCTTTAGGGCCTCCTCCGTGGCGTACTTCTGCATGTATTCTGGAACACACACATCAGTCACTTTACAGTACATCAACAGCATACACTCAAGTAATGATTCAGTGTGGTTCTATCTATTGATACCTTTGATTTTGTGCTTATAATCCTCTGGCTTGTGCAGGTACAAGGCTGCTGCGTCTCCATTTAAAGGATCAATGGGGTTGGGATAAGCCAGCAGCTGAGGCAGGAACATGTCAAAGATGTTGGTGAGATCTGTACAAAACAGGAGAGAACAGGGAAAATCATCACCTACAATACACTCAGACTGCAATGTTTGACAATCTCCACTAGAGGTCTCTACTGTCCAGGAGAATTCTACAGGAAGTCAATTATAAACCATGAAGAGAAAGCTGTTATTAGGCATAAATCATGTTAAGACTCAAATGAAAATAACTACATAAGAAGTATTGCATTGGGATCCACATACTGCTCCAAAGAGCTATATTTTTTTTACTTTCCCAGAAGGCCAGGGTAAGTAAGTAAGTAATTTTTATTTATATAGTGCCTTTCATAAACCAGAATCACAAAGCACTTACAAGATTTTTGTGGGCATTTGTCTTCTCACTCCGCACAGAGATGGAAGTGGGGGCCGCATGCCAGACCAATTGTACAAAATGTATCAAAGCCTATACAGGAGATATACTTCTTTTTTGTTTTTTATCCTTTTTGAATGTGTTTTTATGTATACCTTTCTGGTACAGACCTTTTACTCTTGTGTCCAAAATAAAGTATTGAATTGAAATTGAAAACCACCACTTAAGTATCTATCTATTCATCTATAAACCATAGACAATATCATACTATATTTTTTGCCGTTCCATTAGAAAGTGACAGCGGCCTACCATAGAGAGCAGTCCAGGTCTGGTTTATAACATCCAGACAAACTGTTCCTGAGCTGTAAAAGAAAGATGCATTCAGACCCCCGGTTTTTACTTGGCAGAATTACATAGCAAAAAAACACTTACGCTTCATCGATGTTCGGGTGAAATATCTTATTCATAAACCCTGAAAACACAAATACACATCGATATTATACAGCCCTGACACATGTTTAAGCAACAATAAAAACAGTAAAGAGAAAATACCTATGGATGGTGACTTGAAAGGGTATTTATCTGGTAGGTCTACCCGAACTTTCCATACCCCACCTTCATAAGGGGCTGTAATAAAAATGAAGGTAAATCAACAGTTTAAGACATGAACATAATGAGACAAATACACACTACTTCCTGGACTATTAAGCACGCCTGTCAAAATAATAACATATGTATAACTGCTAAAAACTGACCTATAACCACATAAATCTAGTTGTATGCATTTCCCCAAAACTTGCTCTCCCTGCACTGTTCACATAAACATACTGAAGCAGGATATAGATACTGTACATTGGCTGCATTGCTACATACGCGGCAGAGTTCGAAGCGCTTGAAAAAAGTTGTGGCTTATGTTCCAGCGAGTTCTCTAGTTGCTAATGTTAACTTACTTCCTTTAGGACCATGGAACTTGACCACAAACTCGTTGAGCCCACTGAGGATGGTGACTTCATGTTGGCTTTCAATGCTGGGAAGGAGTCAAGGAAAAGTGTGCAGAGGAAGCAGGCACTAAGCACCATAAACATTCACTAAATCATCAACAGCAAATGAGTATTACAGGCTTAGGAAAAGGCTCAGGAAGGCCCGAGCTGAAATAAGAAAATGTGAATTACAGCTCTGCCTTTGATTACTGGTTTAAATTAATGATTAGATCAGTAGGGAGGATTGTTCCCTGGAGACAAAGGATACATGTTAAAGTCTGATAAATATTTACCTTTGGTCTCAAACAAATCAACCATTTACAACAAGATCCATGCTCACTCTGACCACATGCACTTTGAGGATTTTGAGAAGGTTGTTTTATCACATTGAAATTATGGGACCTGTATGTTTTAATGTAGAGGGAACAAAACAATCCTCAACTCAAAAACATAGAAGAAATTGTATCAGACTAAACCACACATTTTTCCTGATAAAAATAGCAGTATATTGTAAGAGTTGAGAGATGGTTTTAGATATATTCGTATTGTAATCTAGTATTATACTTTAACTACCAATTATTAGTACTCCAAAACAAGTACTTTGTGTGACTTTGGTCAATGTAATGCTAATAAATAAACATTACCTGCTTTGTTACTTTGATTGCAGGGGTAAGCATGACTAGGGTGGAGAAGATGTGTCATAACCACAGCATGTTGACAGAAAAACTGAGTCAATTCTGACAGAGCTTCAGCAGATCCCAGCACTTTGCAAATGTGACAGATGGTAAATATACATGAACAAAACAACTGAAGAATCCAATCCATTTCCTGACCAAATTTTGCACCTCATTCCTGAACTACAGCCATTTTAGACAAAGATTTCAACCTAGCAAGTCAATAGCTCTCACACAGTCATACCACTTGAAAATGCATCCTTCTTTTGTGCCCTTCCCCAGGGGTTATTTCCATAGAAACTCACACAACAAGTACATATGCTCACTCAAGAGTAATGCAACTCCACAGGGAGAAACCCTTCTTTGGACCAAACCTTTCACAGCAATGTGCCCTTGGATATAAATGTACTTTGAATGTTAAGAACAGTCTGTACATCTGCACAAAATGAGCATAATAAACATTCACAGTTTTACGTGCTTTGCTTGTATAACTACGCGTTGTTGGGACTGTTTGGGGGTAGTAGCAGTGGTGGTGGGTTGAGAAAAACACGTTGGGCCTGCCTCTGAGCGTCCTGAGTGCAAGGCTGGCCCTGTCCCTGCTTGCTCTGAATGTTCCCTGCCCCCATCGCTTCATGTGGCTTCGTACAGCACGCTTGTTGTTCAGATCAGCTGTGCGAAGCTCCGCCCTGCGCCTTGTTCCGGATGGTAACAGCCTGGCCAATGGGAGCAATGCGTCTAGCTGCAGGACAAAAACAAAACAATTCGCCTCACGCTGTCACAAAACCCCCAATCTGAACTTCTATTGGCCACATAAAAATCCAGCCAAATAAGAAAACTTGTTGCTGTGTGGGTTTACATGAATGGGAACAAATTTTAGAGGTTTTAAAAAATCATCATGTGATAATATTTAAAATGGCTGCATTGTTTCAAAATATTACAAATGTAGCTTGTAGGCCTATCCAGTCTCGGATGAGTTTGGATCATTATTAAGTAATACATAATTTATGATAATGTATTACAGTGACAATCCAATATTTCCCAAAAAAAACAAAAAACAAAGGCGCTTGAACATTTTGCATTGTAGCAGATAATTCAACACGATTAAATGCTACACACCATACCACAATAACAGTGTTGTGGATGCAGCGTTACAAGTTGCATTTCTTTTCTTTTTTGTTTAGAAAGCAAATAAAGCAGCCTGCGCCTGCTAGGCTAACAGTGTTGTCTACTACTAGCGTTAGCCCGCGACAGCTACAAACACAGGATAATTAATGGCATCATGTAAACAAGTGTACTTTCTGCATATCGTCGATCAATATTCCAAGACTCCCAACAGCAGCAGTGGAGCCTTTGTGTTGTCAATCCTGTATGACCACAAACACGAGCAAGAAGCTAACAAACTACCTCTGCCAGGCTAAGCTAACGTGTTGGAAGCTAGCAGAGTTATTAGCCCGTGTTTGTAGCGTCGTTTTGAGTTGGCCAACACAACACAAATACTCATAAGTAATCATCTATGTGGACATGAGGGGCTAAGCTAGCTCGTCGTATCTGAAGTAAAGTTAGCATCCTGTGTGAATGTGGCTATGCGTCTTCACGAAACTCGACAGCAAGCACATTTCAACCGAGCCAAAGGTTAAATACAAACTCACTTGGTTAACGTGATAAAAACGTATTGTTCAGACTTACACAAGCACATATAATGACAATGTTTTAAACACGGTTAAACCTCTTCATAAAAAAGTGATCTGCTATCAAACTATCACACTGAGTACAACAGGGCAGAACAGCTGACCAACACCACCCTGAAAGGCAGAGGATTTCAGCTTGTTTATGAGAAGGATACAGTTTCACCACGTCGGTATCCATTCGCCTCTTGCCTGGACTTGGGGACGACATTTTTGTATCCTTTCACAAGAGATCTAAAATACTGCTGCGGCGGCTTGACTTTCAATCCTTCAGCGGAAAAAAGGCCAGATCGCACGGACTCAACTGTCTCCCCACGCTGTCCGAGGACAAAACCCTGGCTTTAACATCGCCTACTGTGTGCCTGAGCCTGGGTTAGCCTGGGTTAGCCTGGGTTAGCCTGGGTTAGCCTGGCCACCTCCACCTTGTGTCCTGGACTGAACACTGTGACATCCAGCTCAGCTCAGCAGCCTGGGCAGAAAACAGAGAGGGAGGAGGGCGGGGCTCTGCAAAAGTACACACACAAGAACACGCAGGACATACACGTACATGCACACGCACGCAAGCAAGCACACGCACGCACGCTTTCACGCACACGCGCACGCATGCACAGAAAAGTAGAAAAACTCGACAAGTTCATTATGTTTATGGCTGTATATTATTCAATAATAGGCTGTATATTATTCATTAATAATTAAGTCTTGACATCAGCCTGAACCCCTTTCGGGGTTCCTGAATTTAGTTATTTCTTTCTTATTGTAAATTGTATATGATCTGTATATTTTATGTTGTTGTTATTGATGTGTCAAAGAATTGTAATGTTTTATCATGCTTGTATTTTAATGCCTTTTTACATCTTGGCCAGGGGACTACAGATGAAAAATAGCCTTCTGGCTAATTCTGGCTTTTTTAACCATGTTTGTTCATGTGTTACATTAAATTGCACTGTCCCCTTTCAAATAAACCAATCCAATCCAATCTATGTAATCATGTGAGCTATGGTCTAATGTTCATAATGACCAATGCTTGTTTAATATGTTTATTTAACATATTAAAAGAAAAGACAAGAACTAAAAAAGTCCTGACTATCAGTGTTCGGCCTGCCCTTGGCTAAAGTTAAGCTCCCCATTGATTACCACTTTGTCGTGGTGGGGGGAGGTTGCTTGTACAGATCATCCTAGGAGATCTGTGCCTGGTTGATGCCCTGGTTGGCCCTATATGGGAGTTCCTGTGATGTATGTTATTGGGTGGTGGGGGAAACCGGAGCGCCGGAGGAAACCCACCCTGACACAGGATTGATGTCACAACCCTCTAGCTGTGAAGCATGAGTGCCACTATGCTACCATTTTTCCCACCCTCACTCTGGGCCAGTGGGGGTGCATCCGGAAAGATAATAACCCAATGCTTTTGGAGGCCGCCTTTTTTCCTCTCGAAAACATCCTTACAGTATGGTCCAAAAATGTACTCTTGGCCCGATGCTACGTTCCAGATGCTGTAAATGCTGAACGTTTTTTTTTTTGGACCAGTCTATTTTAGCCGCTGTGGACTTTTGAATGCATTCGATTAATGAATGGGAATCATGCCGGCTAACACATGCAAATGCGTTTCTTCTTTTTTCACATTTTCCTGCCCCGTGGCCATATTGAAAAAGCCCACAGAAGGAAAAAGTGGTGACATAGTTCCCACGGCGGAGATAGGCATGACTACCATGACTGTAATATTTACAGTCTATGCCAACGAAGTGGCCCTTCACAGAGATCTGGAGCAGAGAGGACTGAGAGAGGTCAAACATGAAACATCACCTGACTGAGGGGATGGGCTTGGATGAGATTTTGCCTGAGATGAAAAGATATCGACTTGAGATAGACAGTCACCTATGCATAGAGTGAGCTCCCAAACCAACTACGTAATTACTTGAGATAGAGTTGGAACTTCCACCTCTTTGGTTTTTCTTGCCCAGAGAGATGGCGAGCTGGGGTGGCCTTGCTCATGACTGCCTAAAAGTATACCTAGTGGTATTTGGACTCCCTGGGACTCCATCATTCTTCTGGAGGATTTCAAGTCTTCAATGCTCATTTGGAAAATTCCAATGAAAGCCATAAAGGGATGATGGGGAAGAATGTCCCCTTCCCCATCTGAACAAGAGTGATTTTGGGCACAAAGGTTATCCTCAGAGCACAAGAACCGAGGCTGATGACCCACTTTTGTGGTTGAGTTATTTGACAAGTGCAGGACAAAGCTTAGACTCGAGATTATGTCTGAAGGTAGAAGAATTACTTTGAGAATCTTCACATTACCCCCGTCATGTCCTCCACTTTGGAAGAGGCTGAAGATTTTGGGAAGGGTACCTATTTCAACCTGGCTGGTCAACCAATACCAACTTGAACTTTGCCCTGACGAAGGAACATGGTCATGTGTCAACCCCGTCACCAAGGCCCCATAACAAGAAAGTATTTCTTTCTCAATAACAAAGTGCCTCGGACCATTTCCTTTTTCCTCTCACTGTTGTGGGTATTGATATTATCATGGAACCATTGCCTGTCTTGATTGGCACATCTCTGCACCATGGTGTGGCCTAGACAGTACCTCTAGGATTGAAACTCAAATGCAAGAGCAGTGTTTAATTTATCTTGGTAGGAGAACACTGGACTATACTCTCTACACTCTCTATACTCTCTTACGGGTGATCAAGGTATTATATGAGTTTGCTTAACATGACAGGCACTTTGCCAAATTGAATAAGGCTTTCCAGGGAAAGGGTATCTCTAGGAAAAGGGTCACCTATTGCTGCAATAGGTTACCCTTTTCCTAGAGATACCCTAGAGATTGTGTCTTTTGAGTGTGGCAATTCCATCTCAGTGACTTATTTGTTATCCTATAGCAACAATTTAACTTGGAAGCTAAGTTCAGCTCTATCCAGCCATTCACTCAATTTAAACAATTGTGTATAGTTTAACACTTTTATTGTTGGGTTACATTGACTCGGGCCTAATGATGTCTAGTTATTTTGATGACAACAAATCATGTGAAAGTAAAAAGAAATCAAATAAAATTCAGCAGTGGTACATTGTTGTTTTTGTTTCATGTCCTCTTCTGCAGCGCGGCCCTGAACGCAGCAGCAGCAGCGCGGCCTGTGATTGGTCGCAGAGCACATTTGGCTGTGACGCATCCACGGCGCAGGTGTGGACACTTCACTGCAGACTGACCAGAGCTCTATATTGCTCTGTCTGCATGTCCACATCTTTATTTAGGCCAAAGTGTTAGAGCTGCGAGACACCGACGAGCTGCCTCTTCTTGAAATGTCTTCGGCTGAACACAATTCAACATCTAGTTTGCTGAACAAGTTTGAGAAACTGTCATGGAGGCCCTCCGTCAGGGAATCAGGTTAGTAAACAAAAGCTCTTTTCTTCAAGTCCTTCCACAGAACCTGTAGTGTGAGTTCAGCTCGTCTGCTTTCGGGGACTCTGCGATCGTGGGCTGTTTTCGCCTGTCCGTGCGGTTCATTTGCGGAGCTCGATGGATGGAGAAGTTTATGCTCCTTGTTTGTATCATCAGGGGACACTGGGGCTAGCTAACTCGGCTAAGGAAGCTCCCCTTTAAAAGTGGCTACTCTCGTAAATCCTCTGAGCTGAATGTTGGAGAGCCTCTTGTTTTGTAAATGATGACCTGGCGTAACATGTAGCACTTGCTAAGATCATGGTTTGAGGTGGTCTGAAAGGCGGGCGCCTTTCTTGCTGTTGGCTGTCCTCTCTGCACCTTTCCTCCTGAAGATTATGATTGTACTTTGTTGCATTTCAGATTCATGCACCTAAAAGCTTGAACAATCTTCCTGAAAGTGTGAGATTCTTCTGACAATGTTTAAAGGCGCTATACCCGTTTCTACAATGTTTGAATGTTTAGCACCGCCCCCCAGCTCGCTCACAGGCTTCTCATTTCCCCTACGCTCTCATAACACGGAGCCACCTAGTTTTATTTGCGATCTGATACATATGCTAACATTAGCATTAGCGCAACTTGTAAGCTGTGCATCAATCACTGATGAAATGGTACTAAAGCAATGCACTGCTAACACAATATATAAGTAAAAGAATACGTTTCGCGTCCGGATGTATTAATTTAAACATTAGAATATATTCTAATATTTAATTATAATTTATTATACAGCTCCTCACAGCAGTAGAACACTCCATTCACTTGAATGCAATTCTTCCGATAATTTCTTCTTGATAACAGAACTCTCAAACCAATAATGACCGCAGCCCCAATGCCACCTCTGTTTGTAATTCAGGTGTGTAAAATACTGCCAATACTCTGCAAGTACAACAAGCTATCAGCGCCTGTCACTACACACTTGTATGTGTAGAGAAACCAACGGAGCTAGCGGAGCTAGCCACGCTCAATAAACAAATACATATCAATCAATCAACACAATTAAACGTCAATCGGACAATACAGTATACATATACATCCTTAACACACATGCACGGACGATTTCAGAATTTGCTGTCAACGTTTTCATGACAAAAATACTGTTTTAAAGTGACAAAAAGTGATCGCGAAAAACCCGGAAGTTACCATGAAACAGCTAGCTAGCTTAGCTGTTACCTGCCTAGCACGTCCCGGTGAAACCTTTGGGAGCTAACTATTTTATTTGCAGTCATTAAATACATTTCTAATTATAAGGGTTGTCTAATATTTGTTCAAATATGTATATATTTTTTATTTTAGAATTATATTCGAATTTTGAAGTGGAAGCCCTGGTGTTGAGCAGCGCTGTAGGGGCTAGAGGACGCAGGCTGGTCGCTGCTCGTTCTGTGAGTGGAGGAGAACGAGCGGCCCGCTCAGACTCTACTCAGCACTTTTCACTGCCTGAATTTCATACACAGTGGAATCAATGACCTCAAGTTTTCAATTAAATTATGTATTATGATACAACTTGTATGTAGTAAAAAGCATTTTTATGAACTACTTAGAAAAAAAATCGGGTATAGCTTCTTTAAATCCAGGATAAAAACAGTTTTGTTCCGATGTGCATAAAAATGAGGGATTTTTTTGTTTTTATATTAATAATTATTATAATAATACATCGTACTTATACAGCGCTTTTTTGGACACTCAAAGATGCTTTACAGAAGAATTCATCTATTTATTATGTTATTATTTTTTATTTTATTGCCTTGTGTGATTGTTTCTATCTTGTTTTGTTCAGCACTTTGAGTTGCCTTCTGAATGAATTTTGCTTTACAAATAAGCTTGCCGTGACTTATGAACAATTCCTATGTTTTCGCAGGCACCAAAAAGCGCGCGCGGTGGCTCCAGGCTCGTCGCCTTTTCTCCCACTCATGTCCTAACCTCAGAATCCCAAACAGATTCTTAAGAGAAGGTATTGCCACATGTCTCTCTTGTGAAGATTTCAGCAAGTAAATAAGAATAATTAATTCCACAGGGCAGTTTGTACCTCCTGCCAGGAGTGGGCATCGCTGTGTTGCAGACAACACAAACTTGTATGTGTTTGGGGGCTACAACCCGGACTTTGAGGAGGCCGGTGGATCAGAAAATGAAGATTACCCGCTTTTCAGAGAACTTTGGCGGTTTCACTTTGCAACTGGAACCTGGCAGCAAGTGGCCACAGAGGGTTACATGCCCACGGAGCTCGCCTCTATGTCAGGTACTGAGCACAACTTCTAACAGCTTCAGATCTTCAGTGCATTTACCTTATTTATCATAGTCATCCAGACCCCTCCTCTAAATCTTAGCTGAGTGCTGACTGCTTTGCTGGCAGAAGCTATAAAGCAGGAATGCCAAACCTTTTTGTTAGAGGCCCACTATAGTTCACTAGACTTGTCCAAGGGCTGACGACATGTTTTGACTGAACTTGGGCTTTAAATTGGGTTTGATTTGTCAGTATAGATTCAGACCTCAGCTACATTGGTGCCAAATATGGAATTTTGTGACACAATCATAAACAAATTTCTGTGTGTGTGTATATATTAAGTCAATGACTGAATTTCAAAGGCGTTGAGCTTTACAACGAGGTATAGCGTGACTATTAAGATTGAGATCCTTTATTCGTCCAATAGTTATAGAACAGTAGAATGAGGAGCACAAGATAAGTGAATATTAGCTATACTAATTAAAATAAAACAATCTCTAACTCTGGCATCAAATAGCTAGTATAAAATCTCTAATATTGGAGGAGCTGAAGTTTGCTGGATGATCCTACGAAAGTACCTCAATGGCTACTTTTTGTTCACAGCAGGGGGCCACAGAACATGATGCAGTGGGCTGCATTTGACCTGCAGGCCTTATAGTTTTGGACATGCCTGCTATAAAGCTTGAGCAGCCAACATAACTAATAATTAACATTTGCATAATGTCCTTTTATATTTCTTTACTACTGACATGTGAAAGTTTATCAGCTTATTGCTGTGGTCAGTTTTTTATAAGAATTTGTTTAAATACTGCTGGATTTTAATTTTGACTTTGCAAATCCAGACATGAGGATTGACCAATTATGCCTTCATTTGTGGGGGAAACTGCAGCTTGCCTCAACAATAACCCATTTAAAACAAATGCCCATATAAGGAAATTGGCTTCAGCTAGCTTATGTTCAAATCAGCTTCTTCTGCATTGACCAAACACTATGAGCCTGTGTACTGTTTTTAATTGAATGTAGTTCAATGTGTTTGTGTAGCTGTCATGCACGGCAACAACCTCCTCGTCTTTGGTGGGACTGGGATTCCTTTTGGTGAAAACAATGGCAACGACGTCCATGTTTGCAACGTTCACTATAAGCGATGGAACCTCCTCAACTGCCGAGGGAAGAAGCCCAACAAGATCTATGGACAGGTGAGCGTTGGTTACTTCCTGTGTGTCTGTATCTTTTTGCACATCTGACTCATGTTATTTGTCCGTCAGGCCATGATAATCGTCAACGGCTACCTCTATGTGTTTGGAGGAACTACGGGCTATCTGTACAGCACAGATCTGCACCGACTGGACCTTGCCACCAGAGAGTGGACCCACCTCAAGCCAAACAACACGCCCTCGGACCTACCGGAAGAAAGGTTGAAAACTGCTTCTTCTCATCAAACGGCACGAGAAATGTGATAATAAATCTGCACCTTTCAAACAGGTACAGGCATGAACTGGCTCATGATGGACAGAGGATATACGTCTTGGGTGGGGGGACTTCATGGACGTCGTACTCTCTGGACAAGGTATCTGGACTCATCCTTTGACCTGCAACGGCTAAAAAGAACTAGAGCGGCTAACGCGTATTCGTTTCAGGTTCATGCATATAACTTGGAAACTAATTATTGGGAGGAGATTGCAACTAAACCCCATGGAAAAATAGGTATGCACCCCTACTTTAAAAAATATTATATTTTGATTTAATAATAATGAAATGCAGTAATGATTACTGCAATCTCAGAACGTCCCTTTTTATCTATATTTATTATGCAATATATATCTATGTATACTTCTTACATATACATCTTGCTGTTCGTACGAAGCATTCACAGCTTGTATCTGTATACTTCGTTTTATTTTTTAAACTAAGTTTTATTTATATAATAGGGTATCCTGATGCTCGCCGCTGTCACAGCTGTGTTCAGGTCAAAAACGGTGAGAATCTCTTATTTTAGATTCCTGAGTTAGCTTGAACAATGACTCAAATCGATTTTTTTTTTTAAGAGGTTTTTATTTGTGGAGGTTATAACGGAGAGATGATCCTGTCTGACCTCTGGAAAATCAACCTTCAAACGTTTGAATGGACCAAGCTTCCTGCAATGATGCCAGAGCCCGCGTACTTCCACTGTGCAGCAGTGACTCCGGTAAGCCGGGATGTCTTACCTCATCGAAGTTTTATAAATTAATGTTTTTGTGCCAGAAAGATTATATAAGCAAAGTCAGACCACAACATGCTGTCTTAGAAATGTTTTATCTTTTTCTCTTAGATTAAGGAATGGGTTGGTGACCCACTTTTTAGTCTAAGCATGTGACTGATGCCAACAATACTACTAAGGAACTTGTAAGACTGTTGCATGGATGTTATAAAAGTTTTTTCTGGTTTCAAAGTTGGGCAGAGCAGCTTTAAATGAACCATTGGTTATTCCCAGCTATTTAAATCGTTGTTGGGTTACACTTCAACAGAAGCAGCTTTGTAAAGGAATGCATTGGCCAGTGTTCTTGAAGACACGCACTCAGATCGACACTTAACCTGCCTTGCCCCCAGGGTCTGCCTGCAGTGGTCTGTTTTGATTCTCTGATCTGTGGTGGTGAATTGACAACTTTGTAATGTCCTCCAGGATGATAGAAAAATGGAGGCTATAGAAAAATGGAGCGTGTGTGAATGAATGATTGAGGCACTACATAAATGTGACTTTTTAAAATCAATTTTTTCTTAAACCTTATTCACTTGAGTATGAACTGTGCAAACACTGGGCTCAATAGTGACTTGTGGAGGTGACCTTTCTACCCTGTGCTCCAGGCTGGCTGCATGTACGTTCACGGAGGCGTGATCAACATGTCGGGAAACAGAAGGACTAGTTCTCTGTACAAACTGTGGCTGGTGGTGCCGAGCCTGCTGGAGCTGGCGTGGGAGAAGCTGCTCAAAACCTTCCCTCACTTAGCACAGCTGTCCACCCTGCAGCTGCTCAACATGGGCCTGACGCACACACTCATCCAGCGGCTCAAATAGACCCCGGCGGAACCATTTTAAGGACAAAGGACCAATATTTTTGTATGTTTAAAAAAAGAAAGTCCGATGTCATGACTGAAAGAGGAAAACAGGTAATGCCTTTTTTTATAAAGTGTATCTCTCAAGACGATTTAAAAAAATAAAAAATAAACATTACACAGCAAAAAGTGATGAAAAAAATCAAATTTTGGCAAATGTATCCTAATCTGATCACATTTTGACTGCCTTTGCTCATGAGACAAGCAATATTTTCTTGTTTTTAAAAAGATACAAGAAATGGTTCACTTGGAATGACAAAATATCGCAGCAGTTCTTCAAACAAAATGGCTTTTCTCATTGGCAAATCTCGTTTAAGTCGGAATGTACTCTAAGATAAAAACAACTCTATGCAAAGCAATTATGACCATATTTTATCATTTTTTGCGGTGTATAATAGGCACAAGCATTATTGCATGACGTAAATGTTTTTTGGAGTGAAATATAAAAAAGACTATGGAATGCATGCTGAATGTGGCAAAATACAATGTTCTCAAGCGACCACGTTGTCTTGACCGAGCAAAGACAGAAAATTGGGATCCTGAATTGCTAATGAAATTCCGAAAGCCTCACTGTGAATTGACAAAGCTGGGAACCAATTTTCATTTAGTTTTTACTTTGTCGTTTGGTGCCTTCTAAATTTACCAGATGTCCTAAGGCAAAAAACTTAAGTTACCTGATGTTCCATGAGCCTTTTTGTGAATATTTTGTTCATAGGAATACAAGTCTTATATTGATTGCACAGACTGTTTTTATAGTTATTTATTCCCATCACTGTGCTGTTTATTTTAGTTGTAGCCAAGGTTGTAAATAGATTAGTGCATTGTTCTTATTGCTCGTCTAAATGAAGCCGTTTTTTGTTTTTATGTAAAGTTTGATTGTGTCCTTCTGACTGAAACTGAGCACTGTTACTGTACTGTATGTCACTATCTGCACAGCACCACCTACCTTGGCCTTTATGGTTTCCAATTTAATTCTTACCTGTTTTCTGGTGGTTTTTCATTTTTGAAGCCTGTTCGTTTTTTGTTTTTTTTAGACATAACTCATTCTTGTGGTTGGTGCATGTGACTGAAGTCTGGCTTCAGCGAAACGCCTCCCTGAATGTTCTTGGCTGTAATGTACACTTTACTTTCCAAATAAACTTACAGCAGCCGTTTTTAAAAGGTTATCTTGTCTTCATGAAACAGTTGGATTACAGTGTTTGCTGGACTTTTAACCCTCTTCTGGCAAGTGTTGCAGATTTTTGCAGACAATAACTTTTTCTTATTGCCTAACTACTCCATCTATATGTTTTTGAACCTTTCTTACTCAGAGGTACAGTACAGACCAAAAGTTTGGATAAACCTTCTCATTCAAAGTTTTTTATTTTCATGATCATGAAAATTGTACATTCACACTGTGTCCAAACATCAAAACTATGAATTAACTCATGTGGAATTATGTACGTACTAAAAAAAAGTATGAAACAACTGAAAATGTCTTATATTCTGGGTTCTTCAAAGTAGCACACTTGGCATGAGCTTCAAGGGTTATTGACCTGAAATGGTCTTCAACAGTCTTGAAGGAGTTCCCAGAGATGCTTAGCACTTGTTGGCCCTTTCGCCTTCACTCTGTGGTCCAGCTCACCCCAAAACCATCTAGACTGGGTTCAGGTCCGGTGACTGTGGAGGCAGGTCCTCTTGCCCCGCATCCCACCACTCTCCTTATTGGTCAAATAGCCCTTAAACATTCTGGGTGTAAATCTACAGTCAATAGTCATGAAAAGGGCACTCATTGAATGAGAAAGTGTGTCCAAACCTTTGGTCTGTACTGTACCTCCTCACCAGGGGCCAGAGCTCTCACTTCCAAAATTTACTGTCATTCAAATTGAATTGGGTTCTGAGAGGGTTAAATGCACCGGTTTATCACCTACAGCTGAATTGTTTATTTTGTTCACATTTACGGCGCATGTTTTTGTATTGTGTAACACATAACAACTTCTAACTAGTCGCAACATGATTTAATGACAAGTTTTTATTCACTGTTGACTCGTAATGATCAAAGCACTCTGGCAAAGCCATTCTTTGACAATGAATGTGCTACTAAAATTGGAGTCAAAATGTTTACAAATACAAACTTTAGCCCTTATCACATATAAACAAGTTCTGCATATTTCCCTTCCCTCTCTCGTGTGTCTCTCTGCTGTTCACATAAACACACCGGAAAGCAGGAATGTGTGCGCTGGAGATCAACGGCTAATAGAGCTGTGTAAAAGTACATGCATTGGTTGCATTACTATATAGACCGCAGCATTCAAAGAAATTGTAAAAAGTAGCGGCTTATAGTCTTGCAGTTAGTGTGTAAATAGAAACATTTGCGTAAAAATATCAGTGCTGTAAAAAAGTCATCTTAAAGGACAACTCACCCTCAAATCCACTTTTTTTTGCTGATAGACGGTATAAATGAGTGTCCAATAGTGTTGTCTACATATCCTGGTCATAATCTTGTCACTTTGGTGCAAATTAGTTGAAAGTTAGACTTTCTGCCTAAAACCGTCTGTGAGGCGCCATCTGCTGGCGACCTGTATTACTACATTTGAATTTTGAATCTGGCGCCAACACTGGCACAGAAGTTGGACCTGACGTCTGCAAGTTGGACCTGACGTCAGCAGCCCCCCGCCCAGCAATGTAAACGGCCCAGTCTCGTTCACGCCCCCTTTAGTCCTCCAGGCTACGCCCATTTAGAGGAAGATTTGAACAGGAAATGTGAGTAACGTAAGCTCCGAGGAGCGGGGGTGAGAACCACTTTAACATCACCTTCACATGTATCAGTGCAGTACTACGGCACATTTACATAACTTAGCACATACATAAATAGTTTTAACCTAAATGTTTACTCAATGAGGGGATGATCAATGTTCAGCAACCTTTTGGGGAGGGTGCAAAGTAGTACAAAGCCAGAAGGATGAGGTAGACGACGACCAAAGCAGTGCCTGTAAAGAGAGTAGTTAGTAAAGATAATAACCCAAGAACACATGTCACATACTTTGATCATTTGCATAGTGCTATCTAAAATGAGGTTATGGGCAGGCTAATCCCAAACTTGCAGCTTAAACAAGTACAAAACACTGATCACAGATGTAGAGGCCAAAGGTTATTCTGAGATGACTGGGTGGTTAAACTAGTCTTTTTCCATTAAAAACCACAATCCTAAATGTAAACGTGGACTAGCTTTTAAAGTAAAAAAATAAATAGATTTGGCCCCTGCATGCTCATGCTTTTCAGATCTAACTAATTCACCATTTGCACTTAGTATTATTTGTGCAAAAATACCCAGTGGCAGAATAGACGACAGAACTAAAGAGAAAAAAAAGAAAAGATTATTGACTTATTTAACGAGGAAAGTCTCAATGAGATTTCAGAATCGCTCTTTCAGGGGAATCCTGGCCCCAGACAGCGGGACGGGAGTGGTGGTGGTGAGGGAGACCCGTGAGCCTATATTTCATGGTTTTAGTGGTAGGGGAAACCGGAGCACCCAGAGTAAACCTGGCACACAGACACAAGGCAGGCAAACTCCACTTAGAAAGGCCCTTCTTGCTGAGAAGTACAATCCCTAACCGCTGCGCCACCGTGCCATGTTAAAAGTGATATTTATTTTGTAAAATAGTTTTGGGCACAATCCTATGCTACACAATGATGCCACAAACTTTTCCGTACAGCATTTGAAAGCACTAATGCACTCTGTATGAGAATGACCACACTTGCCTTGAAAATAATCAGACTTCCCATCCATAAAGATGTAATTCACAACAATGACACTGAAGATACTGGCCCATAGGTGCAGGTCACTGAACAGCAGCACGAAGCCCACGTCCTACACAGAAAAAGCAAAATAGTGAAATCTACTTGTGTTAAAACAGTGAAAAAGTGAATTGATAAAGTCTTACCCAAAAAGCATTGAAGAACACCAACACTGGAATCTGTAGCATGCAGACCTGCACAGCAATGCAGCTCCCAACCTCCAGACTAAAATGTACACATCATTTCAAATTAAGTCCAACAAGGTTCATTTTGTCCTCGGATAGATTCTACAAGTTGAGAAGATCAGTGTTTTTTCTGACAGTTTAGACTCAGAGTGGTCATGTGATGTGTCTTGTTAGCTGTTTTCCTACCACCAGAGGCAGAACAATAGCACCATCTGCAGTCTGACTTCTTCAAGACAGAATCCCAGGTGTGTGAGCGCATAACCGGCCCCTCATCCCGGTTTAGAGTCCCGAGGGAATGTTTCTCTTTGAACCAGTGTCTGTTTGTTGTCCTCAACCATTATGATATTTTCTTTTACCAGTCCATAATGTGATTCTCTCTTTTACAGCGATTGGAGAAGCCGATTTAAGTCGCTCTCTCTCTACTTTGTGTTTTGTTGCTCATGTGCCTTTATTATTTCCGCGTCCCTTTCGGTTTTGTGTGTCTTTTGTCTTTTACAGAAAGCACTCTCTGTTTTCCAAAATTATGTTTCATAACATGCCATGCGTGGTATTCCATAGTTGCTGTACATTTCTTTTTTTTCAATATTTTCTTTAGGGTGGATAACTATAGTTGTCTTAGCACTATCTTAGTGGTTGGAAGACGTCACCAAATATTGTAAAAAATAGCACGACAAAAGCCAAAAATTAAAAGCCACTCTGGTCTTCAAAATATTATCAACTTGTAGAATTTAAATACTTTGATGTTTCTGCTCAATTGTTTGTGCAAACCTGTTAAATGTAATGTTTACCTTAAGCCAATGTTGTTTTGAAGAGCAAATTGAATTCCATTAACAATCTCTGGAATCTCTGGAACCATGGCAAGAATGGTAACGCCAATAAAGTACTGCAAGAAATCAGAAACAAAGAAAAAGTCAGCACCATCTTCTCCCAATGGATGGAAGCCTGGGAGCTCTCTGCAGACTGAGGGTCGGGAACCAGCTGTCAGAAAGTACCTGTGATACGTTGGGCTGGCTGAGAATGGGCTGGATGTGCTCCGTCACTAAGTCAGCACAAGCAGACATGAGAACCGTAGCCATGATGAGGATGAGCAGAGACCTCCAGCGGGACCAGTGCACCACCGCCTCACTGTGGCCTGACACTGCGGAGGAAACAGCCACGACAGAAGATTACGATTAAGATTCATCCTTTATTCGTCCCAAAGTGGTGAAATTTCAAGATACAGAAGAGTAGGAATGAGGAGCACACAGCACAAGATGAATAAACAATAATTATACAAAAATAAAATAAAATTAGATATATAACTTTAGCACAAAAAGAAGCAAGTATAAAATCTCCAGCTTTAGCATAATAAGAAGCAAATATAAGATCTCTAACTTAAGCATTTATTTATTTAGTCTTTATTTGAAGGGACAATGTACAGATTGTCCCTCCCTTAGATTATGGCTAAACAGATAGTTAAGCATAATGAAGAAGCAAGTATAACATCTATAATCTACTATCTTATAAAGAACACAGTTGTCAGAGTGCCTCTTTCTCCATTTCTTTCATTATAAAATCTTTGGCATATTAAGGAAGCAAGTATAAAATTCTGTATATTCTATCTAGTGCCAGAAATATATAGTTGAAAATATAGTTAAAATGTCTGCATCTGTACATGTTGGAAGCATAATGACAAAGGGACTAAGTAAAGTGACAGGGGACACTTGTGATTCTATATTGTACATTCTGAAATGATTACAGGTATGATTGCACACATGAGTAAAGTAAAGCAACAGTGGAAATAATATTTATATTAAGACAAAAAACATTTATTTATTTATTAAGTCTGATTGGTCGAGTTATGTTAGCATATAAGTAATTGCAATACTGAATAAGACAAACATTAATTTAAGTGTATGCAAAAATATGTGTGCTTTTATGTACATATATATATATATATATATATATATATATATATACTGTATATTGTATGTGTTTTCTTTGGTATATGTATATTCATATTTACTAGTATGCTTATGTATATGTATGTTTATATCTTGTATCATTTGTTTTGTTAATAGGGTATGCATTATAATCCACGGCTTCAGCCTACACAAAATAGACCTACATATATTTAGATTTGTTTATAACCCAAATAAACCTTCATTTCTAAAGCGACAGTGGAAACATGTGGTTTGAACCAGGAAATGTGATTGAGCCGATTATGAACCTTGTCCTTCTTCCACATGAATGTGAGTGTGCGTCTTCAGCGTGAACAGCAGCCCGATGATGTAGGCGGCAGGTAGAAGAGCAGACATGGTGTACACAAGAGGCCTAAACACAAGACACAAGCTGACGCCACTTTTGCTCAACCCTGGACTGATGATAAAAGGAATCCACTCACTGTATGTGGTTGTGAAATAACGTGCCATTGTTCTGTTGAATGAAAACAGGATGTGAGCATACTTAAAACACTTTGAACAATGCAAAATTCTTCTTCTTTCCACAATCTGTTATCAATTTAAACCAAGGACTTGATGAACCAATGATCTTTCAATTCAATGCATTCTTGTATAGTCCTAAATCACAACATCAGAGGACTTAACAAAACCATTGAAATCGCTAACACAGATAAGAGAATCAAACAGAACACAAAAAATATAGAACGCTGAGGTATTGGTCCATAGGGGGAGTTGACCAATGTCCATAAATCTTGCACTTGTGTTGAAACCATATTTGAATAGTTTATATGCAAAAACTGATTAGTGCCTTGGAAACAAATCGGAAAAGCTTACAAAAGTAGTTTTGTGAAAAGCCTATTTTAGTGCCATACAAATAAAGTTTCACCCTTTCTTGCACAAATAGCTTCAAGTCTACTGCCATTAACAGAATATGTTGAAGAGAAATACAATATTTGGACAGAATTTCAAAACGGAGATATCAGTTATTTAATGTGAACTCTTCATTTGTTGATCAAATTTTAGGTTTTTTTTTATTCCTGTACAATTTATGTACTTGTCTGGTGCACACTGGGGACTTTTGCACATGTATTCCAATATGGTTTTACTGCAGACGACAGATACAATGAATCTGAATGTAAAAATGTTTGCGTACCAGATCATAGTGGCAGTTATGGCAGACAAACGGCCCGCTGTTGTTTGCACTGGAGCATGCATCACACACGAGATTTCCATAGGCTTTGGAGAACATTGTGGGCGTGAAAACACCTGAGAGTGACCACAGACAACAGGATATGAGCAGAAGTAGAGAAGGCTGACGGGAATAATGAGACTTCTACAATTACAACAATCAGGCTGTTGTTGCATGTGTAGCCCTGTTTCCACCAGCTCGACGTGGCCCTACTCTACTCAGCTCTACTACTTTCCAAAGGCCAAAGGTACTTTTTTAGTCCATCTTGGCCCTGGTTCTATCCAGGACGAGCTGATGCTAAAGTGTTCAAACTGACATAGTGAGGCTGGAAACGTGGTTACTAAGGACGTTCCCTGGATACTAGTTTGTTTTGGGTAGTTGTATGTTTCAAACCCTTTTTTTTACAATTTCTCTTTGACACTTCCTTTCATTTACATCTGAAAATGTTCTTACAATGTGAAACTAATACAAGACTGAGCACAGGCATAGTGAGATATATCAAGCCTTTATTGTTATAATTGTTGTGATTATGTATTACAGCTTGGAAAAACCCCAAATAACACATCTCATAAAATTATTTTGATTATTTTTAAATTGACTAATATTTAAAAACAGACTGTAAATCATAATCATCCAGAATATAACAATCAAAAGCATGGCATATGTCACTTTGCATGTCTGTTGTCTATACCATATATTGGGCTCACATTTTAAATTGACATAGAGTATATAGATATACTAACGGGAAATGTAACGGGAAAGGAAATGTGTGACTTGCCACCGACGGAGATGAAGAGCAGAGCTGCGCTGACTCCAGTAGAGCGACTGTTGAATCTTTGCTCGCTGTGTCGCAGCCCACCAATAACCATGCAGATACCCTGAAAGAACCAACTCATTTAAGACTGAAACAAATCATCAAAGCGAATTCTCTCTCCTCACCGGGATGAAGAGGATGCAGCCCAACAGTGTGCCGGTCATGGCTGCTTTCACCACCTCCTGTAAACATGGGTTGGCTTCTTTGTGCCCTCTCAGGAGGGCAGTGATGTAGAAGGTCAACTCTGTGATGGAGCCGAATGTAGCGTTGACCACGGCGCCCACCGCAAAGTTACTCTGAGCCGAGATACTGCAACGGTTGTAACGCACTTTCAGACGTCTTCCATGATTATTGAGATATGAAAACAGACGTACCTGGCGATGCCCATGCCGATGTAGTATGACACTGGAATAATGGAACTGACGGCAATGGCGAATTTGACATTGGAGCTGGCAAACTGGTTTTCTTTGTCTATGTATCCAACCACTATGGCAACAACGACCAGAGGAAGAAGATCTGTAAATATCGGTGAAGGATCATAAAAAGATTTAACATGGGGGAGGTGGGTAAGGTAACAGTGCTAAGGACTTTTGATTACTGTTCCAACTGCAGGTCCACAAGTGACAAAAGGGGTTGATTTTTGGTTCAACCCTTTAAAAACCTCAGATTTTATTTTGTTTTTTTGTCCATCCATCCATCTCTTTAAGCAAGACTCGACTTCCCTCTCCACACACACTTCTCCCAATCATTCAGGGGAATCTCTAAGTGTTCCCGGGGCAGATGAGAGACATAAGCCCTGTTTCCACCAGCGCTATTCTACTCTAGCCCTATAGCGTTTATACCTGTTTAACCGGTACCAGGTACTTTTTCTAGTCCCTCTTTCCCTGGTTCTAACCAGGTTGAGATGTTACTTTTGAATGCGCTGGAAAATGACTGCAAGTCCTAAGTAGCTCTGAAACAGTTGTTGTTTTGAGCTTTACCATTTTTATTTTTATTGCTTTTTACTACCTGAGATGTTTGTGCAGTAGTGTTCATGATTTTACACTGGTCCAGACCAGAGCAGAGAGGATTCATGGTCCGAACCAAAAGGAGCAGGTGAAATTCCACTGAATGAATGCTAACTTTTTGAAAAATGCTAATGAAGCATTTAGCATTTTACTTTGGACCAGAGCAGAGAAAATGGTCCGAACCAAGCAGCTACTCCCCCTTGTGACCCGTCCTGCTCCACCCAGAGGCTACTCCATCTCTGCTGCTGTAACCTGTCCTGCTCCACCCAGAGGCTACTCCATCTCTGCTGCTGTAACCCGTCCTGCTCCACCCAGAGGCTACTCCATCTCTGCTGCTGTAACCTGTCCTGCTCCACCCAGAGGCTACTCCATCTCTGCTGCTGTAACCTGTCCTGCTCCACCCAGAGGCTACTCCATCTCTGCTGCTGTAACCCGTCCTGCTCCACCCAGAGGCTACTCCATCTCTGCTGCTGTAACCTGTCCTGCTCCACCCAGAGGCTACTCCATCTCTGCTGCTGTAACCTGTCCTGCTCCACCCAGAGGCTACTCCATCTCTGCTGCTGTGACCTGAACGGCTTTAGCTGATTATTACTTTTGGTATCTTTTTAGAATGATCAATTTTATTTTTTATTTTTGCTGCTACTGGACACCTGAATTTCTCCTACGGGAATCAATAAAATATCTATCTATCTATCTCTCTACTAAATTGTTCTGGCCAGAGGGCTGCTGGAAGCCATCCAGGGATGTTGGTTTGTTGTGGGTACATCACTAGGATACGCTACCAGATACTAAAACAAAATGGAAACAAAATCCTGTAGAAAAGAGAGTAGAGTATAGTAGAAGAGAGCCGAGTAGAATAGAGTAGAGCCATGCAGGTCTGGCGGACAACGAGCTCCCCGTGAAATCCAGGAGGCCTCCCAAACAGAACAAGCTCCTCACTTATCTCTAAGGGAGCACCCAGGCGCTCTGTGGAGACAAACTCGATTCGACCGTTCTTTCCATTCTCTGTTAGTAATGGTGTCCGGCAGGGAGGAATTCTCTCTCCTGTTTTATTCTCCCTGTATATGAATGATCTGTCCTTAGAGTTAAGTGCATGTAAAACGGGCTGTATGATTGGGCCAATCCAGGTGAATCATCTGTTGTATGCGGATGACCTTGCTGTATTCAGCCCTAGTAGTGCAGGTCTACAGGACCTTCTCAATGTCTGCTCTAAGTATGGTGTAGAGTATGATGTAAGGTATAATGCAAGCAAAAGTATGATAATGTTATGTAGAACTAAAGATGATGTAAATGTAAACTTTCCCCAATTTAAATTGTGTGGTGTTGAACTAAGTGTATGTTCCAAATATAAATACTTGGGCCATTTTATTTGTGATGATCTGTCTGATGATGAGGACATTCTCAGGCAATGTCGTATGTTGTACGTTCAGGCGAACATGCTGGTGCGCAAGTTTGGTGCCTGTACAGCGCAGGTGAAAAAGACACTTTTTAAAGCATACTGTACGTCATTATACACGGCACATTTATGGACCAAATACAAAAAAGCAACCATCCGCAAACTCAATGTGGCATACAATGACTGTCTGAGGATTTTATTGAAAAAGCCACGATGGGAAAGTGCAAGTACTTTGTGTCAGCTGGAATAAGGACATTCCAGGCCGCCATGCGATGTTTGATGTACAGTTTTATTTGTCGGCTCAATGAAAGCCAGAATTGTATTGTCATAAGCCTGACAAATGTCAAATTCAGTGCCATGCGGTACCAGTCAGATCTGTGGAGACACTGGTACAGCTGTTTGCTCTGAGAAGTGAGGCTTATTGTTGTGATTACATGTGTTGTTTTGTGTTTTTATGTGATGTGTGTTATGTGTTATGTGTCTTATCCTGGACCCTGAGTCTGTAATAAAGTTTGATATGATATGATATTTCTGTCATTAAACAAAGCTCATGACCAGAGGTGAGAGTGGGAAAAATAGACTGACCCATATCTCAATCCAATTACATTCACTTAACTGGATAAATCAGATGTTATGTCTAGACAGAGAAAGTTAATTGAATAAAGGTATTTTAATACAATGAAGTAAGGTTCCAATTATTGATCATGAATTGGCTGGTTATTCTCTTGATTAAATCGATGAGTTGTATAGATCCAGAAAGCTAAAGTGAAGTCACTATAGAGAACATCTTCATAGAGATAACTTGATACACATTGGGTTGTTTGATGAAAAATACTCCAAAAACTCATTTCATTTCATTCAGCAGTCATTTTAGAACCATAAAATCTGTTCTCAGCATGTCTAAGCTATAATCATCTATAAACTTGTTACAGCCTTACATTGAATTAACTTGCCTCTTACTCGAATACACAACTGTACCGACATCTGCCCGTTGCATTGACAAAGGATACTGACGGCAAACACGTTTATCCCATCCACAGTGTATTTGTAGTAGTACCAGTTTGTAGCGTGGTAGCAGCAGAGAAGGGCTTTTGTTTCCACCTCCTGCTGAGGCAAAAGGAGAAACTTATGACGTAAATAATATGCTAAACAGTGGTCCCTCGTTTATCGCAGGGGTTACGTTCTAACAATAACCTGCAAAAAGAAAAATTCTGTGTGTTTTGATGCTGTAAAACCCCTCACTGCACACTTTTCTAACCACCTGGAGTCACAGCTGATGAAATGCAATCGCGGAGACATCAAACTTGTTGGTTGTCGGTCTGAGCGCTGCTGCAGCTGTCAAAAGCCGAGCAAAATACTGCTACAAATTACACCGCCACAAGCCACAAACATTTTTTCTTCTTTTGAATAAAGTTATACTAGCGGTTATCTGACGTTGTATATGATGTTGTTGGAGTTCACACACGGCACATGAGAAGCTGTAAAAAAACACGCAAAATGGCACACACAAAAATATTCAAAATAGTGAGGCTGCGAAAGCTGAGGGACCACTGCATCAGAACCGGAATCAAAATTATTTTTATTATAATTGTGAGTAACAAGAAGTCACAATCTAGGAAATCGCTTTGGCAAACAAGTTAAAGGTGCAGTAAAGGATTCAGGTTAGCTTTTAGCATTAGCATACGAGTAGTAGCACTAGCTCAAAACCATATTTAATGAGACTATGGATATCTGGTCATCTCCATTCCTATTTGACTTTTGGGATTTAGGGACGTTTCCCCACAGTATTCTAAAAAATTGCGTCTGGAAAAATCATTGCCTGCATTTTTAAAATTAGAATAAGGTATGCATAAAAACTAAGCACACACAATACAATAATACAGTATAATAACAATAATAAACAATACTTACTTTTTGCCTGGAACAAGACGAAACGTAGACATCTTCCGGCGGCAGAAGCAGAACGACGCCCACTGTCCTTGCGTTCATTTTGGAGACGGGGATAGTGAAGACGAGGATCCAGGAGAGGAAGCAGGCCAAGCTATGGATGACCACCAGCAGAGGGTAACCCAGCAACAGCCAGACATAGGTACGAAAGCGACACTATCGACACAGAATTTCAATCAGTCCATGTCAGTATGAATAGTAATAATAATAGTAATGATGGTAATAATAATAATAATAACAAAAGAAAAGGTTACCCAGTAGGACGTTTGCACATGTTGCTCAGCGGGAGAAGGGAGCAGCCCCTCGGACTCGGCTTCGGTCTCCTCTTTGATGCAGTTACAGTCGGGAACGTTCGCACAACATCTGCGAATAGTGTTTCCTATCTGAGAAAAGGATGTGGTTTTAAAACAATGTATTTATGCCTGTATGGATGACACAGCTGCTGTATCTGGAGGTTGAATTAAAGATGGGGCGACACGGATTATGGATAATAAAAATGTGTAAAGTTAGTTAAAATGACTAATACTTTTATGTCAGACAAGAAACTACTGTGGGGAAAACAGATAAAAAAGATGGAATGATAATACACAAGATGGGTTTGCAAAAGGAAATTGTGCACTTACAGGTGAAATTGGAATATAATACAAAAACAAACAAAGGCTGGGTATATGTCAGTTTACATGTAATCTATATCATATATTTGTTTCACATTTTAGGTTGAATTTAAGTAAAAAACATAAATATTATTCTCAGTTTCACCTGTATGTCACCAAAACCCAAACCCTGATAAACATGCTGACAATGTACTCACATTTTTGACCATTTCTAATAATGTTCATCTAATACAAATGCACATATCAATATGCAGGGTTCGGTTCCACCTCCAGGCCTCTCTGTTGCTTGTTCTCCCTGTGTCTGTAAAGGTTTCCCTCCGGTGCTCCGGTTTCCTCTGCCACTAAAACCATGTACAATAAGCCCCTCCTGTCTGGCGACCGCACTCCCATGTGTGGAGTACGGTCGCTAGACAGGGGCATAACAATTGTAAAGTGCTTTGTGACTCTAATCTATGAAAGGCGCTATATAAATAAAGATTACTTACAGGTAACTTCTACAAGTTTTGGGTTTTATTTATCTCCGGTCTGTTGGCCTTGTCCTCAGACTCCCTCCCTCAGTGGTCGCTACTATTCAGGGAGGGCGAGCCACATCCACCACTAGGGCTTACGAGGTTCGCTGGAGGCTCTACGTCTCTTGGTGGACAGAGCCTTTTACCCCACGTCGTGTTCCATACAGGAAGTTTTATCACTGGACATGTGGGGTTTGGCATCTACTCTGCACGTAGCCACCCTTGGGCTATGTGCCCTTTCCCTGTAGCCGTGCTTGTTTTGTTTTACTACTAAGTTATAGTTATATATATTATATTTATTGTACCATAATATACTTAATTATTCCCTGCTATGTTTTGATCAAAATTATCCACCACAGTGATTAAAAGAAGAAGGAAAATATCATAAATTAGGGTCTAAAAGGATCTAAATGACCCAGGGCTGGTCAAGTTAGGAAAAATCATCATAATTCAACTTGAAAATATTTTTTTAGGGTATTTTTAAATCTCTGTGGCAGGTCAAGTGACGCGAGGACAGCACAAGGGTTAAGGAAATTTGTCCTTTGCATTTGAACCATCCTTCATTGCAGGAGCAGTGGTCGCCCTAATACAGTGTTTTTAATGGCAGGGAAATATGAGCACCCAGAATAAACTTAAGCAGACACGAGAAAACATGCAAACTTCACTCAGAAAGGCCCATTTTCTATCGAGATTTATAAGCCACAAAGTTGAATACCTGATGAATGGTCTTCCCAAACGGCCATAAGAAGTAGCAGGACAGCTTGAAACACAGCTTACCTAAAAATCAGAGAACAACACAGGTTTGACACCATGGCGATGTTGTGAAACTTACTGTTTTCACAATACGTACCATAAGAAAAGCCAATAATAGTGAAAAACATGAGGAGGCTGACCAGCAGGTAGACCAAAGACACCCACCAGCCAAAGAGGAACACATAGGCAATATTTCCACAGGAGACAAAAGAACCTAGGACACAAACAAGCCTAATGTCACAAAGAGAAGTCAGTAATTGTAACTGCATACATGTTTGTACTTCACCTTCATGTGTTTGTGGTTTCACTACATTCAACTCTGAGTAGAGCTCTTTAACCACCTCAGAGCGGCCTTCAAGGGGACGCTCTGTCACATGGCTCTTCCATTTTCGGAACCCAAACTGTTGTGCACACAAAACAACAATCATTTTTTGCTATGTAGGCCACAAGAACGCGAAAGTACATGTAGTAGCGGCTTGTTGTCCAGTACAGAATTCCAGGTGTACTCACTCTGTAGTTGTTGACCAGTTTGTTGGCCTCCACCTCGTTCTCTGCTCGTATGGTCCTCGTACTTTGCTCTTCAGCACAGACATGGTCATCGCACTGGCAAAGGCTCGAGCCTGATGAGAAGCAGCAGAGTGATGTGAGTGTAGGGTTATGCATGGACATTCAGTTTTTAATGTATGACTTTACTGACAGGCTTTGGGCGACTGCAGAACAGATGACGTGTTGACCTCTTCAAAAGGAACAGTGCAGAAATGGTCGAGGCTTTGAGCGGAGTCACATGAGGAGTCTGCAACAAACATAACAATTTTCCAGCTCATTATTATCGAAGAATACTACACTGCAAATGATAAAATATGAGGTAATAAATGCTTGAATCAAATGTTGATCTCTTTCATCTTAAAACATGATTTTCCAACGGGACAAAGCCATTTAGTCTTATTTTAATCTTGTGTTAAGGCAGTCAAAATGTGCTCAAATTAAGATACATGTTTGCCAAATTTGAGCAATATTTGACTTTTTTTTCCGGTGTAATATTGCATTTCACTTATTGTATTTCACTTGTATCTTTTGTATCTGTCTGTTTTGGACGTAGGGTCTGTAAAAAAGATGAATATTGAATATTTGCATTTATTCGTCATTACCTGAGGACATTCTGGTGCCAGGAAGGCTTAGTCAAAGGCTTATGTGTGTACAAGTGAAATGAAAATAAAAACACAGAAACAAAACATATCTTTGTTATATACAAGATAATGTATTATTATTATTGCTGTATGTTTTGTTACAGTCATAAAGGCAATTTAGGGCAAGGAAAGGCAAGTGCTTAACAAAAGAAGATCATACATAATTAAATACAAAAATATTCATATTACATTAAAAAAGTTGTATGCAGTCGTGAGCACAGAACTGTTTTTGATCAGGATATGAATATTGTCCAAGTAGAAGCCTGTCTCACATTTTCAGGAAGCCCTTTCCAGACTTTAGCGGCGTACATCTGAAATTCTTCCTGCACTAGATTTTCAAAAGGTTGCAAAAAAGCGTTTCCTCTTTTTCACTTTAGTGCACAGTCACACAATATTCAATAAATAACAGCAAATGATAAGCTTCCGATGTCAATTTCAGATAGCATTATGTGCACAAAACACAAACAAATAAACAGATGATAACGCTGTTTAGAAATGTTTTAATAGTGCTATGGTTTGTTTACGTAGCAGCCGATATTGTAAAGTAATCAATAGTAGCAGCTGGTTGGGGATCAGACTCACCAGGAGGGTTGTCTAGCGGTCTTCTCCTGGTGCATGTGTCCGCCGACAGTGACATTAGTGCGGCTACAGAAGTCCCCGCTCACCGCTTTTAGCTCCTCTATATGGACGCTTAGGAGCTAGTGCGTCTTGTCTTGAGTCTGTGCGACTCAGTGCGACTCTGCGCGCACAAGCGACGCGCGTGGATCAGAGACTCTGAGGATTGTGGGAAATGAAGTCCTGTGTTCACGTTCACGACTGGCATGAAAAGTGGGCGGGACGAAGGGTATCCGGAAGTTAAAAGAACACGCCGTCAAATTCCAAATATCAGGAGTTTGAAGACACGATCCCTCAGACCTATGTCTCCTCATTTCTAGATGAAAGAACATAGAGAAGAGAGGACATAGAACTGAAGAAACATAGAGCTAACATAGAGCTGAAAGAACATAGAGCTAACGGAACAAATAAGGGAACATAGACCTGAGGGAACGTAGAGCAGAGAGGACATAGAGCTGAGAGAACATAGAGGCGAAAGAACATATAGCTGAGAGAACATAGAGCTGAGAGAACATAGAGGCGAAAGAACATAGAGCTGAGAGAACATAGAGGCGAAAGAACATAGAGCTGAGAGGACATAGAGCTGAGGGAACATAGAGCTGAGAGAACATAGAGCAGAGAGGACATAGAGCTGAGAGAACATAGAGCAGAGAGGACATAGAGCTGAGAGAACATAGAGCTGAGAGAACATAGAGCAGAGAGGACATAGAGCTGAAGAAACATAGAGCTAACATAGAGCTGAAAGAACATAAAGCTAACGGAACAAATAAGGGAACATAGACCTGAGGGAACGTAGAGCAGAGAGGACATAGAGCTGAGAGAACATAGAGGCGAAAGAACATAGAGCTGAGAGAACATAGAGCTGAGAGAACATAGAGGCGAAAGAACATACACAATACAATACAATACAATACAATTTATTCTTGTATAGCCCTAGGTCACAACAGAAGTCATCTCAGAGGACTTAACAAAACCATTGAAATCACCAACACAGGTCAGAGAATCAACAGTTAAAACACATGAAGAATATAAAGCACACACAGAAGAAAATGTCCATACATGTTGTAGAATGCTAAAGTGTCCTGATCATCACCAATCCTTTGAATTGGTGAAACATAGAGCTGAGAGAACATAGAGCTGAGAGAACATAGAGAGAACATAGAGGGGACAATGAGGGGACAACAAGGGAAAAGTACAGGCTTCTGCACATTGATAGAATGATGAGTTTAACTTTAACAAAAGTTGCTTCAAAGTGTTATGAAATCTCACATTCCCCCTTCTGGTCACACATTCACATGTGACCATCAGGATCGATAAACAGCAACATAACATCATAACTCAATACTTAAACTCATAAACTCGGTACTTCACTCGGTACTTCAAAAAACTCAGAACTCGGAATACTTCAAAAACATTTTCAGATCTTTCATAAAACTTGTCAACAATCTTCAGCAAAATACCAAACTTCATCAGTCGATGGTGGTTCCAGATATTGCTTTGAAAACAGTCTCTCCCACTTCTCCGTGTTGGTTTCTTCAGGCTTCTGCATTTGTGTCGAGCCACAAATTCTTCTGTGACGTGTCTTTCAATCACACGTTTCAGCTTTAGTGTCCAGATTCAGCAATTCAATTCAGTCCAAATTATGTCCAAATTCAGATATCCAATTGTTCCAAATCATGTCCAAATTGTGTAATCCAATTGTTCCAAATGATGTCCATGCAAAAGAGGACGCTGGTGTTGTCCATGTCTCAGCAGCTCACAGCAGGCCTGACTGGAATTAGGGGCTGTGCAGATTGTCCATTTGTGCTGGTCCAGATGCATGGTTTCTCTTGAGGTTTCTCAGTTTAGGCTGGGATCGCGTCTTTCATTCCGACAGAAGACATGTTTTATTGTCGATGGTAGAGACAGCACGAACAACACAAACAACAGAATGCAAGTGTATTATACAGAGCGGAGGCATGGAGACCTCCAATCAGCAGCTTCCACGGTGCCATGTAGCTTGGCCTTCAGATAGACAAAACAAGGGAAAAGTACTGGCTTCTGCACATTGATAGAATGATGAGCTTAACTTTAACAAAAGTTGCGTGTTATGAAATCTCACAGACAGCACGAACAACACACACAAACAAGGGATGTTACGACAGCAAGTGTATTATACAGCATGGAGGAATGCAGTCCTCCAATCAGCAGCTTCCACGGTGCCATGTAGCTTGGCCTTCAGATAGACAAAACAAGGGAAAAGTACAGGCTTCTGCACATTGATAGAATGATGAGCTTAACTTTAACAAAAGTTGCTTAAAAGTGTTATGAAATCTCACATTCCCCCCTCTGGTCACACATTCACCTGTGACCATCAGGATCGATAAACAGCAACATGACATCATAACTCAATACTTCAAAACTCATAAACTCGGTACTTCACTCGGTACTTCAAAAAACTCAGAACTTGGAATACTTCAAAAAACTCATAAAACATGTTCAGATCTTTCATAAAACTTGTCAACAATCTTCAGTAAAATACCAAACTTCATCAGTCGGTGGTGGTTCCAGATATTACTTTGAAAACAGTCTCTCCCACTTCTCCGTTTTAGTTTTCTTCAGGCTGCATTTGTTGTGTTGAGCCATGAATTCTTCTGTGACGTGTCTTTCAATCACACGTTTCAGCTTTAGTGTCCAGATTCAGCAATTCAATTCGGTTCAGATTATGTCCAAATTCAGATATCCAATTGTTCCAAATGATGTCCATGCAAAAGAGGACGATGGTATTGTCCATGTCTCAGCAGCTCACAGCCTGAGTGGAATCAGGGGCTGTGCAGATTGTTCAAGTGTGCTGGTCCAGATGCATGGTTTCTCTTGAGGCTTTTCAGTTTTGGCTTTTAAAAAAAACAAATTTTTGTGTAAAAAAAAGTCTTCTGTTCTGTAGATGTTACAGACAATGCCTGCATTCTCCACCACCTGAAGAAGATGACAAAGTCTGGGATCGCGTCTTTAATTCAGACAGAAGACATGTTTTATTGTCGATGGTAGAGACATTACGAACAACACACACAAACAAGGGATGTTACGACAGCAAGTGTATTATACAGCATGGAGGAATGCAGTCCTCCAATCAGCAGCTTCCACGGTGCCATGTAGCTTGGCCTTCAGATAGACAAAACAAGGGAAAGTACTGGCTTCTGCACATTGATAGAATGATGAGTTTAACTTTAACAAAAGTTGCTTAAAAGTGTTATGAAATCTCACATTAGCTAGGCCTTTTGGAGCTATTGGATCTGTAGTGTGTGGATCCAATAAGTCTTTCTGAGTTTGAGCAACAGTTGAATTGTGTTGCTACAGTGTAGTCTCTGTCATTCTTACGGATGGTGCTCATGCGCACTGATTCTCTGTTGTAGTTTTCTTGTAGTTTTCACCAATGTAAGCCAGACCACATGGGCACGTAATCACACTTTTTTGGGGGCATTTCTTCCCAGTGGGGGGTTAAAAATATTATCCTAGCGCATCATCAACCCAAGATAAAGGATACCTTCGTTGCAAAGATCTCTAACTTTCAAATCTGTGGAATTTTCAATGTAATCTCCATGACTAGTATGTACGCCTTTTTCAAGGGAGTGGGATGAAAACCGGAAGCCATCAGAAGTGTGTTTCGACACAGAAGTGAAAAAAACTAAATCTACCTTTGGGAATTAAAACAACACCTGCCCTCAGCTCTATACAGTATGTGTATATGGCAATATTTATATGTAGACTGGTGTTTTCTCATTGCCTGTTTACTTTATACGTACCCTATACTGTATATTCAGACTTTCTTCTATGTTTTTGACTTGTATTATAAATTTATATATATTGTATTTTTTGTATTTTTGACATTTGTCACCTATTTGTGAATGTGATTTATTGTGAAATGCTCCGTGGGTGTGGCGACTGTACACTCTTGGCTGCCTACTGTTGTATATTTTAACTATGCAGATGTGAATATTGGCTGACCCTGATTTGAACTGTCTTTTCCTAAAGCAAAAAGACCTGGTTTCCCCATGTTCCTTTGTTAGTCCAAAGTGCATGGGTGAGTTAATGATAGGTAATCTGGGGGGGGATTCTGCTAATCCTGAAGGAGGGGGACCCAGAGAGCCTTCTGCCTTATCTCAAAGAAGTAATACATTTGGGGAGTGGTAGTGTGTGTGAATGATTCTGTTTAAGGTACGGCAGACAGAGGGGACATGATGGAAGAGGCCGGACCCAAGTCCTGCCTGATACGACACGCCCCCTGCTTCCTGAACATGGACTGATAATGCTCTGGCTTGAGAGGACACAGGAGAATGAGCCGAGGGCGAGCCAGGGACATGCATAGTTTTAGGAGCCCTCTTTGTTGGAATTTCTGTATCTGATTGTAAAGATAATTAAATACAGATGTTAAAACTTGGAGATCTGTTGTCATGCCTCTGCATCAACTCGAACACGTCAGTCAAGGGAATTATTGACTTCATTTGGAGACCCCCGACGTGATGGTGCAGGGGAAAGACAGAGATGAGCTCAAATATAGACTGGGTCCGTGGGCCGGGAGAATTCTCTCTTCTCTTCTCTCTTCTCTTCGAAAGAGGTAAGCGGATCGTTACTTTTGAAAATCTGCACATTGTTTTAAATGGAAGAGAGAGAGAGAATTCGGCTCGACGGACTGCAGCGTGGCCAGGCGACCGCCGTGACGGGGCGTTCTATCGGACGCGATAGAACAATAGTCAGGTTTAGACCTTTTAACCTTGGGGGAAGCATTGGTCCCTCCTTAAAAAACAGAACAGATGATGAAAAGAGCCACAGGGGTATAAGTGCAAAAGAGGCACAACTGTTTAGATAAATAGGATTAGAGAGATAGGGATAGTTAGGGTCAGAAGTGATAGGATAATAAAACCTTCTATATCCCCCGGGGGCGGGGAAAAGGGCACAATTAATTTAAACAGAAGAAAAGCCAAGTATTTAAAATGTGGATTCTGATAATAATGATCTGATTAATGAGGAAAAAGAGAGCCTCTT